GGTCAGAATTTGCGGAAACTCGATTGATTATCTTCTGGCATTCCTTAAAAGGAATGATTCTGCAATACACCTCTTTCTGATTATCAATCTCGTGTAAATAGTTTCTACTCTAAACCCACCAAGAGAATGTGACTCATGGTAACGCCTTCTTAAGGTTTCTGTCTGTTTTTATCATATAATTGTTTTTCTCCAAACAGAATGCCGCCATTCTCAAAAAAATGTTTTCGTTATCTACAGATCTACAGATAGTTTTATCAGCTAGTTCCTGAGAGAAAACTCAGATGCAAGGAATTCTCAAGCGGAACAAAGTCCATTCAGATGTAAATGCGCACAAAATGGCGGGATTTTGATGATCTATAATTGTTATAGTTTTCCTGTTGCGTCATTGTTCTTGTTTCTGCTGTCATCATCATCATCACCTTCATTATCCATCTCTATCAGTATTATCACATCAGTATACGTCTTCATCATCATTTAAACTATTTTTGTTTATATGTAGGACTATTTTATTTATATGTAGGACAACTAGAATTCCCTAGAATCTACTGCTGCATAATACAAATCATAGTTATGCATAGTATATCCAGTATTACTGCTAACTGGACGCGTAAAATATATTTTCATTCAAAAGTGCTTAAAAAGGGGGAAATTGCCATGTAGTTGGCAGTTTTAAAACTGCCTAGAAATTTTCCATCTCAATCCTGGTCTGTCTGTCCAAAACGTTCAGGATTAACGACTTCACGAAGCACTTCTCACAGCTGGTCACTATAAACCAAAACGTTTGCTTGACTAGCAAACACCACATAGGGCGTTGGGAAACAGGCATAATCAGCTAATTGAGAACATAACGAACGTTTAAACTGATGTGAACGACTTATTTATTACACATTAATGACTAACGGAGGTGCGAATGTACAATAGACTACGCATTCAATACGGACAGAAATTCTTTCAAGGTTCTAAGTTGGAAGCCATCTTGGTTGTTTCCGAACAGGCCGCGTAGCGAAGCACGCTGCCTCCAAACGTTGCCCTCTCATTCAGCTTGCACATCGTGATTTTGTCTCATAATTGCGCGATCAAGACTCCAATTTCTTGCTCCCGATCATCTAGATGTCTAACAGCGCAGGTATAGCAAGCAAACACGGTCTAAGGAAAACGGGCTGGAGCAGGCTGTCTGCCCAGATGCGCTTGTTTTTAGGGTTTAAATCATGGCGCCTCGACGCAGGTATTCCGTGCAGGAAAAGACGTTCTTTGTACCTTTTGTCGGGTGGGCTATTCACCATATTTCGCCACGCACTGCAATGTAAACGCAAGGGTAAGGTGTCACACACAAGATATATGCTGTTGGGGAAAATAGTTATACACAGTATAAAAAATGATAATTTTAGATCAGGGGATACAAGGATAGTTTTTTCTCGATATTCAAATCTGATACTTGGGCATAACATATTTTATCCCTTTTCTTTTATATAAGAGCGTGAAAACATCTTAATACTAAGGGTTTAATAGGCGAAAGAATTTAAGATCTATCGCCGCCACCTTAGAATTATATGTCGAAGAAGATTATCCTTATTCTATTATGATACCATTTTCTGGGGTAGGGGTTGAATGTATGAATAAAAAACAAAACAAAAAAAACGTATGATATGAAATAATTGAAAAGGTTTAGTTATATATTCCATATCATTTAAATAGATTTTCTAACAATACATATGAATCTAACTTATATCAAATGTGAATGTGTGTGTGTTTATGTGTATGTGTATTGTGTGTATGCTTATGTGTGCATGTGTGTATGTGTATGTGTATATGTGTGTATGTAGGCTATAATGTGCGCTATTCCAGTTCATTTGCAGCAGTGCCTCCCACCGCTCCGTCCAGAAGATAGAGAGAAAAAGAAAAGAAAAGAGAGAGAGAGAGAGAGAAAGAGAGAGAGAGAGAGATAGAGAGAGAGAGAGAGATAGATAGAGAGAGAGAGAGAGATAGATATAGAGAGAGAGAGATAGAGAGAGAGAGAGAGAGAGAGAGAGAGAGAGAGAGAGAGAGAGAGAGAGAGAGAGAGAGAGAGAGAGAGAAGAACAAGGTCTCCTTCCTCTTCTTTCTCTCACTCCCTCTTCCTTTTCTTTTTCCCCTTTTCTCTCTCTTTATCTTTCTCTATTTCTTTCACTCTCTCTTCCTCTCTCTCTTTTTTTTCTATTCTTTCTCTCTCTCTCTCTTACTCATTCTCTCTCTCTCTCTCTCTATCTATCTATCTATCAATCTATATATCTATCTATCCCTATCTCAATCTCGTAAAAGGTTTCTCTTTTCTCATTTCCTTTCTCCATTTTACTAAATTAACTTGTTTTGGTAACATGGAAAACAGCAACATATTACTATATAATACCGATGATAATGACAGTTAATGAAAGCCTCGCATATCTACACGCACCTCTGTAGCCACTGGCGCCAGGCGAGAAAGGATATATCAGAGGTTAGCAAGTAGGCACAGTGCCAGTTC